CAACAACAGTGGAACCCTTGACCCCAGCCTCACACAATTTGGAAACCACTGGTGTGGTCTAATTCCAATGGAAGGGACACTGAGGGATGTGACCTGCTCCAGTGACAGAGGAAGTCAGCCATCCAAGTAGAGGAAAAAGCCAGGCCTCTGGACTCTCCATCTGGCTGTTTGCTCCTCTTGACTGAAGAAAAGGCAGACTTGGGGAAGAACTTGTTGATACAGACACTCAGAAGGGGTGACCTAGTGGAATGTTATCAATCCCTAGAATGAAACCATTAATCCCAGGCCAGTCACCACCCGATCTTTATTGTCATCCTTCTCTTAAACACAGCTAAGAGCACCCGACTACACCCCAGAGAATTGAAAGTACATGGATTTCTGGAGTGTCGTGTGGACTCTGAGCAAATGCAGCTGGGACAGTTGGGGGCCCAGGTCCCTGCGCAGGGGTCGAGGCTTCCTGGGAAGTCCAGATTAGAGAGTCTGCTGCGAGAGGGGGAGACACAAGGGATCAGAATCCTTTTCAGTGTGCTTGAAATAGGATTGCCTTAAACATCATCTTGCAGGCCAGAATTGGGCAGCCTTGATCCACTCAAGCGCTGGCCAAAGTCTTCTCCCGCACAGCTGTGGCTCATAGCAATGTGCGTGTGTGTGTGTTGGGGGTGTCCTGGCTTCTCCCGGAGTCACCCCACCTGCCCTTGGGGGCCGTTCTTTCCTAATGGCCTAGCTGCCGTGGCTTCAGGGGACCAGCGAGCTAGACCTGGGGTCACAGAATCCTGGGGAGACCAGGAGAGCCCAGAAGGAGCTAGAGGGTCAGTGGTGAGGCTGATACATTTTTCAGATTACACACTCAGCCCCTTGCATTCCTCGTGGGATAGAAAAAGCCACGGGAGCAGGCAGAAGCCCTGGGCTCAATTATTACTAGGAAATGCCATGATTTGTGTGCTCATTATGAGGCAGGTGTCAAGTGCTTTACGTATTTGTCATTGAATCTTAGCTCAGCCCATGACCAGGTAGACAGTTCTTATCCCCATACCGCAGATGAAGAAACTGAGGCATAGAATGTTAAATAATTTGCCATTGGTCATAGGTTTTGAGTAGTGGGGACACTGCTCAAACCCAAGCTTGAGGGGCGCCTGGGTGGCTCAGTCGGTTAAGCATCCGACTCTTGATTTTGGCTCAGGTCTTGATCTCAGGGTCGTGAAATGGAGCCCCATATCGGGCTCCACGCTGAGAATGGAGCCTGCTTGAGAGTCTCTCCCTCTCCCTCTGCTCCTCCCCCTGTTTGCAGCACGCTGTCTCTCTCTCTCTCAAATAAATAAAGTCAAAACAAAACGAAACCAACAAAAACCCCAAGCTTGAGTGTCCACACATTTATCCCCTATACTCTGCTGCCCCAGGTGGGCTGAACCCACTAGGTCCCTCTAGAACCATGTTAGGTGGACTTCGCACACGTGCCATTTCTGTCCACGAAAGGGGCCATGTGGGCAGGTTTCGCAGTCAGACTGAGGTCTGAGCCCGGGCTCTGCCACCTCGTGTCCATGGTATGATTCTGACAAGAACCCCTTCAAACCTGTTTGCTCATCTCTAACATGAGCCCCAGGAGTAGCGGGGCCCTCGGCGGAAACTAAGAGATAGTTGATTCTCCTTGTCTGCCGTAGTCACATTCTACAAAATCTCCGAGAACCTGGATTGGCGAATACAGGACCATCGCTCCCAGGGGGGTGGGGAAATGCAGGGTTAGGGTCCTGCCAGCCTCTGGTCTCAACATTTCATCAATCAGTGCATAAACGTGTTTTAGGAGTGTTTCTGTTTCAAGGCACCTTACTTAATATATACTGTCGATTCCTGAAGATCAAACTCAGAGCCAACCGCCGTGGGACGTGCGAGTACCAGACTCCCAGCCCTATGCTTGGGTGCCATTTTCAGCAGCAAAATCACAGAGAGAAAAGCACAGACTTTGCAAAACCGTGGCACTGGATAGACTGCAAGACGGACGCCTGCTTACGGCCCGAGAGCCGCGACACGCAGGCGGCGGGGGTTGTCCTTGTTTTCCTGGCTAGAAACGTCCGCATCGGGCAACTCAGAGTCTTTGCTGAGAATGACTGCGGGAGCGCAGGGGGTATGCATTTTAAGATTGTAAATAAATTTTAGCGAGTAGGTGAATTTGTAAATACGGAACCAAAGACCGTGATTGCCTGTGACGCACTTAGAGGGCCCAGCCCAGGGTTGGCGCTCAACACTCACTTTTAGGGTGGTTTCCCCCGCCCTATGGACCGCCTCACTTGGGGGTGACAGCAGTGTCCCCCAACGTGACCTGGAGCTCCCTGGAGCAGCCATTATGCTCCCAAGCCCAGCACAGAACTTGGCACAGAAACTGCCCCTACACTCGTGTGAACAAGAGCAGGTCGCTTGGCTTCTGACTCTGAGCCCTCGTCTGTGAAAGCGGAACAGTCCTGCGGACCGTCCAGGGTGTGCAGACCCTCAGCAAGGGAGATGCCCGCCAAGGACCAGAAGCCCCCCGCTAGGTGCTACCAGAAGGCCCTCAGGACAGAGGCCAGCAAGGCTCCCCATTGTTTCAGCGGTTCATTGATGAGGGCTGTCTTTACTTCCCCTTCTACCCCACGCGAGCAAGGCACGGACCCCGGGCCAGCACCCCCTTCGGAACTGAGTGTCAGGCCACTTTCTGGCCATTAATCTCTAAGAGTCTGTCAGGACCATTTGCATTAGCCTGTCTGAGGAAACCCCAGCGGGCCAGAAGAGGGCCTTGGGAAACCGAGCCACTGCAACCGGCTAGGAGCCGAGGCTCCGAGGTGTCCAAACGCCCTCTCGGACCCGCTCCTGCCTCATGCCGTCTGTGCCCCAGCCACGCCTACGGGGGGGGGGGGGGCTGTAGGACATCACGGGGTGGCCACCCCTTAGAGGGGACACGGAAAAGGCAGCACCTCCTACCTGACGAGAGGGCATGGATGTTGATGGAGCACGCGGGCTGGAGCACTCCCCACCCCCACGCGCAAACTCTTGGGTCGGATGGGAACAGCCCAGCCGGATCCTCGAATCCGGAACGCGGAAGCGGGGCAGTGGGCAGAGACGGAGTGCGCATGTGTGGTGGTGGGTGGGAGCCCGCGGCAGAGCGCGGAAGACAGACTGGGCCCCCGCCCCGCCCCCACCTCCCCAAACACAGACTTGTCCTTTCAGTGATGACCACGCAGCTTTTCTTAATGGAACACAATCGCTGAACCTGGTACATTTCAAGCACTTTAGGCTTCCAGGACACCAGACTGCTGATGAAAACCATCTTATGTGGGCGCCATGTTAATGAGAGGCCAAATTTCATATGCTTGCAAACTTTCCCCCCTGCCTCCTGCTGTACTGTACCCCGCCTTCCCCCGCCTCAATAAAAGGTTGCATCAGAGAGAGAGAGAGAGAGAGATTTCCATAATTTATAGTATGGGCATTTCACTGGGGACAAGTGCTAATCTGTACTTACCGATACATTTAAGAAAATGCATCCTCCCGCAAGCCTGCACCATTTATGACTCTTGGCACAAACCGCAATGCTCAGTCTTCAATTAAGGGACACCTTAGGGTTCATTATCACACAATCGCTCCCTGTGAACCATGCCAAATGCTGTTTTGGCACGGAGCTTGGAAGATGAATTAGAAGGAAGTCTTCTCTGTAATGCCCTCTCCCCAACTCCCATTACCATCATCAGCGTTTATGCCCTCCTGCTCGCCCCTCCTTTCCAAGTGGCTTTTACTATTCAATTTCTCAACGTCAAACTCGATTCTCTAGAGGTGTAGTTAAAGATGCCACAGCCCCCTTTTGTCTTCCGGCTCTCAACAGGCCTCAGAATGGCTGCAGATGGGCTGCTCTCCACACCCCTTTTCGGCCTCAAGGAGCCACAGATGCTTTTTTCCCCTCCTCTTAGAGCTTGGGGTAGAGAAAAGAAATGGGACCTGAACTGGAAACACACACACACACAAGCGCACACACACACACGTGAGCCATAAGGAGGGCTCTACGCAGGATCCTCACAGCACCGGGCGTCTCAATGAGGAGATGACTCACACGTAAAGCTAGCAGCAAAGGCAGGGCTGTTTCAAATATGAAAGTCGGGAGCTGTGTTCAGAGCCAGTTGCTTCAATGGACCAGAAAGGAAGGAGGGAAAAAGAGGAGTCGAAGGCTCTTCCTCTCTTCTTTGATATCCTCTAGTGGAGGGCCTACACTGCCCCGCTGTGTCCTGAATCCGCAGGACCCTCTGATTTAAACCTCTGGGTAAGGAGGACACTCCTTTTGTTCCCTTAATGGAAACACCAAAAGCAAATGAGCACATTTGCTGGCGCTTTCCAGCCCTCCCAGCAACCCGGTGCCCCACAGCGGGCCGGGGGCCGAGAGTAAATGCTGCCCAGCCCGCCGCACACCACGCGGCTGCAGGCTGAATGCTGGGGCCTGGGGACGAGGAGGGAGCGGCCCAGGCAGCCGCAGCCAGAGAAGAAGACTGTGGAAGGACGCTGCAGCAGCCCAGGGCGCCAAGACCGGCCCTACCTTCTGGGGCGACCGCGTGCCAGGGAGAGGGAGTGGGGAAGCGGGCGGAGGGAGGGGCGTGCTGACTCAGTTAGGGGAAGCGTGCTGATCCGGCTGCCGCAGAGCTGGTCACCACCTCCCGTAAATGAATCTTCCAGCTCTCCTTCCCCTGACAGCGCCTCTGCGCTAGGAAAACTCGTTATTGACTTCTTGGTGTCACACCCACGTCAAGAGCTACTTAGATGTGACAGGTAAGAGGGGCTGATGGTAATCAAGGCTCTCGAGTCAGACTGTCAAATTATACGAAGCCATTAAAATAAAATTAGCTTAACGAAGTAGCTAGAAATCTAGGTCGTGCACCAAGTCGGGCTGGTGTAGTGCAAGGCTGCGAACGGCAAGAGTCTTCGCTCGATTTTATTCTGGGGGCAGGGGGCAGAGGGAGGGACGGCAGAAAGGAAAGCAAACAGACTAAAAATACTTGGCCCACAAGACGGCTTGTGGAAATTTTATTATATAGAGTGTAAAATGAATTGTCAGTCAAATAAAAAGAACACTTTTTTTTTTTAAAACAACATGCATAACATTTTCCAATTGCCTTTTTTTAATAGTTAGACATTTCAAGCATTATAAGGAAAATAAGGAGAAAAACCCAGAAACTGTAACTTCGGTACATTTCAAACGGAATGTCCCTCGGGTCAATTAAAAATGCAAGAAAAAATAGCTTCGACTCCGTTTTTCTTTCCTTTAAAAATACATGTTATCTGTACAAGACGCACTACAGTAAACACTGGAAATCATATTATCCCTTTTATTAAATCAAAATTATTTAATTCATATGGTGGTTAATACTAGATTTATTTATTCACCTAGTTAATTTGACAAATATTAAGAAAATATTTAAAAGAAAAAAGGAAGAAACATCTTGGAATTAAACAACAGTTACTCCATTTTCACGCGGTTTAACGTTCCACAGTGTTTGTTAAAAGTTATATCGAATTTCTTTTTAATATTAAAAATAACAGTATTTATATTTCTGAGAGAAGAGAGAAAGGTTTTTTGTTTTGTTTTTAAAACAAGCTTGGAGGTCTTAGATACACAATTGCAACTGGTAATGGAGACACTAAAAAATGTATGCTAAACACACGGACACGTTTTTATATTACCCCTTTAGCACTCTAGAAATTATACAAACCCTATAAAATGCCCCCTCCCAACCCCTGTTGGACAGCAATACAATTATCTGTCTCAATTCAGAATTCACATAATTAATTACAATACATAATAGTTCAGTTTTTTAAAAAATGCAATATAACCAGACAGCCAAGATAACATGAAATTAGAAGTAAAACATTTAATGAATTTACACATTTAAGAATATTTAAATACTGTTTAAAAATTTTTAAAAGAATTTGTTACATACCACCTAAGACTTCCAAGCCACTTTCTGTTGCAACAGAAAAAACTGTAAATAAAAAGACACGCAACAAAACGGAACAAAACAAAACAAACACACCGTGTTGAAATGTCACTGCTCTGAGGCACGCGCTGGCGCCTGAATTTTGCAGGTCTCGCTCCAGGGAGAATCCCAGAGCTTACACATTTGAAATAACAAACAAAAATAATGAAACAAATTATCAGCAATTTTTAGTAACTAATTTTCCCGATTTTTAGAAAAATCCTGTTAATCTAAATATAGTGTTTCACAGAACAAAACAAAGGTTCTTCATCAAAAGGTTTGCAAATCTAAAAACCTCTGTTACAAATAGGTTTTTGCTCACAATGATTTCGGGGAGGAAAGAGCTGCAGGTCGTTGTCCTACTGCTCCTGCGGAAGGAAGGGGACAGCAGTTAGTATGTGAGGCCAGCTCTCGCGTCCTCGTCTCGGTCTGGGGCTCCGGAGGATCGGAGGGGACAGGTTACCCTCTCCCTTCTGGCTCCTCAACGGGCACGGATACACGGCCTGTGTCCCTGCGTCCCGGGATCCGGTGCAGACAAACCCTCTCCCGCACAGGAGGTCCTGGCCGGCCCTTCGAGCAGGGGTGCTGGGGGCGGGGCAGGGGAGCTCATGCTTCCCCTCGGCCACCCACCAGCCCTGACACCTGTCTCCACTGGGCCCAGGCACAGAGGGACCATTTTGGCAGTGAGATGACCAACGAGCTTTGCGTCCGGGGCCTGTGGTAGCTGGCACGCTGTCTGGGGGGACCTGGCCGCCATCAGGTCCCCTGAAAAGCGCACCTAAAAAATGCCCTGGGGCGGCCTCTGGCCACCTTCCCTATGTTAATAAGAACTCTGTTTTTGGCTTCCGACTGGACCGAGCGCTCCAGGTTTCCGTGCAGGACGACGATCTGGCCCTCTGCCCTGCCCGGCCTTCAGAGGGTGTGCGCTTGTCCTCCTCCTGCCACCCCTCACCGCTGCCTGGGGGCCGGGGTACAGTCTGGCCACACCACCCTCTTTAGGAACAGCAGTGGGTGTGATTCCCATGGTCCCTACTGTAGTGCCGAGCCCGCCCCGACTCCTAAAGCTCGGCACTCGCACTGACAGCTGGGGAAACTGAGGCCTGAGAAGCTGAGTGCCACCTGGCACTGCAGTCTCAGGGCCCGGCCGTGAGGGAGGATCAGGCACTTCCTTACTGTGCCACCAATTCCTCGCGCCTCCCCCCACCCTGTTCTCTCCGGGGAAGGAGCGGGGCCAGGCGCGCATGCGCACAGACTCGGGAGAAAGGGGCCTCGCGCTGGTCTGGGAAGTGCCCGCGGCGCTGCTGCTCGACTACACACCTGGCTGTGGGCCTGCGCTTGCCCTAACGTCTGCCCGTAGAAAGCGACCTGCTGTCTGTAATATTCCGCCCAGGCCATTGTGTAGTCCGGCGGGGAGCTGGCCTGAGGAGCGGCGCTGGCAGCGTGACCTGAGTGACGAGGGAAAGCACAGGGGTTAGCGGGGCCAGGGACAACCCTGGGGGACGTAAAGGACGTGGTCAGCTTGGAGGGGTCCCTTCCCAAAGACCGGGGCAGCTGGAACAAGGGCCGACGCTGTCTCCCTCTGGACGCTGGCCAGGCTGGCGCTGGGGGAGCCACCGGGACGGGGACGCCCTGCGGGGGCCCGCTGTCCAGGGGCCTGCGGCAGGAAGTGCTCTGAGCTGCTTGCTGCCCGTCCCCGCCCCGCCCCTACAGGTCTCACGTCTGTCACCATCTCTGCCTCTGTCCACCTGCCCCATCGGCTGCCAGAGACAGAGAGACAGAGAGACACACACACACACACAGAAAAACAGACACAGACAGACAGATGGCGGGGCGGGGGGAGACGAGGAGGGAGGGAGGAAGAGCGAAAGGAGTGCGGGTCCCCGGCTTGGGCGTGGGGTGCCCCTGTGCAGAGTGTCCAATCCCAGGAGGGCTGGAAATACAGGTCCACGCATGTCCCACGAGTCTGGATTTGGGAGGTCTGGGGAAGACTGGGCATCAGGCCTCTTAGCAGGGGCTCTAGGTGACGATGACCTGCCTGACCCCCACCGAAGGCCCCCCGGCCATCAACCCGGTGATGATTCCAAACACCAGGACAACCACTTCTTTGACAGTCCATGGCCTGATTTTTGCCAACCAGCAGGTAACATCCTCCACAGTCAAGTCGTGGGAGTGAGACCTCCAACCACACTCCAGAACACGTACAGCGGATTTAGGACTACTTTTAAAGGATTCACTTGGGGGCTCTTTTGGTTGCTGTTACTAGATCTTTTTCTTCTCTTGTTAAAAAGACAGCTTTAGTTTCTGGCACAGCGAAGAGAACGAACCTACTCGAGAAACCAGCACCCTGGCACCCACTACAACTTTAGGCTCCCTTCCCGGAGTTCAGTCCTCCTCCTCTTCCCTGCCCTGAGATGGGACCAAAAGGAGCCAGGCGCTGGACGACAGCCAGGGAACAGGACGCCTGATGGTCCGAGTCCTGGCCCAGCGGTTCCGGGACAGCTGGCCCTGAGCTGTCCTCAGGCCCTTTGGCGTCCAGAAGGGGGGCAGCAGACGACTCCACACGTCTCCTCTGACGGACACACAGGGGACACAGGAAGACAAAGGCAGGGACTGAGACCGAGTCACATAGGGAAAGTGCTGAAGAGAACAAAGGTGACAGGGAACCACTGACGACGAGGTCGACAGGCATGGGGGCGCTGGGCCTAGGGACCTGCTTGTTCAGAAGGCTGCTCACTCACTCTGTTTTTTGTAATAGTCTTCCCAGGCCTTGCTGTAGTCGGGCTGGCTGCTCGGCGGCTGGCTCTGCTGGCCTGTGCGGAGAACACGAAAGCAGTCAGGCCCCCGCGCCGGCTCCGGGCCCTGCTCTGCACTCACTCGCCCACGCCACAGCCCGCTCCAGGCCCTGCAGCCCCAGGCAGGCAGCGGCAGGCTGGCTGTGGGGAAACACAAGGACGCCCCACAGGGCCTCCACCCAGGCCGATGGGGTGTGACTAAGATCCCTGTGAGGAGGGGACTGGGCAGGACGGCTGCCCCCCAGGAGCAACGGGTCAGACGGCCTCGACCCTTCAGGTGGAGATTAGAGCTCGGGGAGCCCCGGGGCCAGAGTGACTGCGTCAGAGGCTCCCTGAATCGGCCTTCAAACGGGACAAAGAATCCAAGTGGTGCTGACCACACTTGTCACCGGGCCCTTCTGTGCACAGACTGATGGCTTCCGCTCTGGACACAAGCACAAGTGCAGGAAAGGCACGTGGGAAAACGGCCCGGAGACCGCTGGTGATGACAGAAATACGAGGTACACACCGCCGAGGGGCCGAGCGCCACAACCCGCACCTGGTCCCAATTTAGCCTCATGCCTTTCTGGGGGAGGAGCAGACGGGGACAGGAGGTGCGCAGGCTTGTTCCCCATGCCCAAGCTGGGGTGCCTGCTCTGTGTGGCGCCGGCAGCAAAGAGCTGGGGAGCGGAGCGGCAGCGGCCTGCCCCGGGCATGAAGGGGTCAGAAGCCCCGACCAGAGCGACAAGACGGGACCTTTTCCTCTGCTGAGGTCAGGACTGGCTTGCGTGCCCACCTGCTAGGACCCCCTTCAGCGCCCTGTCTTCTGTTAGAACCGCAGTAGGAGGCAGGCGGGCAGGACGCGCTGGTGACCACGGTCACGGCAGAGTGTCTCCCTCGCTAGTTAATTTACTGCAGTCTGAGGAGGGGCGTGGGGTGACGGGCGTCTGCGTGTGGGGCTGGGAAAGGAAGTGAGGTGGGGGGCCCCACAGGGAAAAGACCCCCCCGTCCTCATCCTCCCAGTAGGACAGGAAGGGACTCCGGACGATGCAGGGAACAGAACGAGGCGGTTGTGGAGGGTGTGGGCAAACAGGACATTTCTTCCAAACAAGATTTCACTGACAGAAACCAGTTCTCACCGCCCCCTACAGACAAACACAGCTCAACACCACAAGACAAGGATGGGAACAGCGGCAAGAACCCAGGCACTGACTGTGTTTTCTCTCACTCGCCCCATAGGCCTTTGCCTGCGGCGGGCAGCGGGCCTGGGCCTCTGTGGAACCGTGGCCCCAGGGTCACTTCCCCTGAGGAAGGAGGACATGTCCCCTACCTACTTCCTCCCAGTTTAGGGCTTTCTCACACAGTCTCTGTCCCGCACAATGGGGCAAATGTGAACTCAGCCTGGGCTGCCTCTTGTCCCAAGGGCCCTTTCCGATCAGAACAGAAGGAAACGTGACGGGCTCTGGGAGCAAGTGAGTGTGGTGAGACTGGCCTGGCGGACTCCAGGTGGGGTGCAGGTGTTCATGGCAAAATTCTTCCTAATATTCTGCACGTTTGAGACATTTCATTGAAACAAATATTGGGGGGAATGAAGGAAAAAGAAGGCAACTATACAATTTCAGAGCTCATGGGTTACTCTGGAAATCAAACCTAAACCTTTCATTTCTTAGACCACAAAACTGGAGGCCAGAGGAGGGGAAGGTGCGTGAGGCACACACGGCATCGGCCTCTGGACTCCAGACCCCACAGGGCACTGCTTGTCCAGCTGTGACCTTGAGCAGGACCTCCCCCCTGCCCCCCCCACTCTGCCCAAGGAGGGGGGGGCAGCAGGAGCCCAGAAGGCGGCCTCAGTCCCTCGTGAGCGAAGCTGCCACAAAGCAGTGTGGCGCCGCGAGGCTCATGGGCAGACGCGCCGAAGGACGCCCTCCGAACACAGACAGGCTGCCGCCTCAGGGGGACAGAAAAACTGAAGGTAAGGTTTCGGTTTTGTTTTGGTTTGGGTTCTGAAGGCTGTGCAAGATGGGCTCTACCAGTGATCAAACTGCAGAGGGACTCCTGAAGCTCGTGTGGGGGCCGGAGGGCAGGCCACGTGGGCTGGATGCCAACAGGGACCTTCTCTAACTATCAGCTGTCTTGCCGAGGCGTCACTCAGCACAGCTAATTCTCCAGCTGTGTGCTTTCTGAAAAGTTCAGGAGACAGAAAGGACATCCTTTCTAAGGGAGTGCTGGAGAGAAGAGGAGGAGACGGTCACCAGGAGGCCAGAGCCGGGGAGGGGGCGCTGTTTGGGAGCGAAGTGAGGGGAGGAGCTGTGGGCTGGGCCAGGTCCAACCCATCTGTGGGAACAAAGCTGACAAGAGCCCCTAGCTCTGAGAAGAACAAAGGAGACGGGAAAGAAAGGTCTGAGAGGTGGGCCAGGAGAGAGCCAGCCGCCACCCTTGCTCAGCTGGAGGCCCACAGGGGGCTTCTCCCTACCCCGGGGGGCTCCCGGCATCTCTGGGGAGGGACATGTTGGGCCTATTGGTCAAGAGATGCAACTAAAGCATTTCAGACACACCAGCCCCCTCGGCCCTCCCGTGGGGCACGCGCAGTCCCCCCTCCTCCCGGGTCACTTACTTGGGACCTGCTGTGTGGGCTGCTGCCACGTCTGGTAGGTGCTGCCCCATCCCTGGGTCAGAAAGGCCGGAGGACCGCTATGGAGGACAAAAGAGTCACTCGTTCCGGAGCAGGCCACATCCCCGCCTCCTCAACTGGGTCCACCTCCCGCCATGCCATCCATGGTCTGGCTCTTCACTGCTCCCCCCGCTCCCCACTGGCAGTGGCCACGTGGCGGCCCCGGTCCTGCCCGTCCCGTCCCGAGAGAACCGCACGGATGGAGTGAGAAGTCGCCTACCTCACAGGGGTGCTGTGGGGGTTTCCGTTCACTTTAGCAGCAAGGCTCGGGAAGCAGCCTGAGCTCCTTGGAGGAAATGTGCTAAAAAAAAGTGAAGAACAGATGAACACAAAGGGCCGAGGACCGCTGGGTGGGGAGGGCCGCTCGGGGACGCCCGCGCCCACCTCAAGGCCCTCCGCCCTCTGGGAAGGCCCTCGCCCCCAGGACTGGCCGGTGGGCTATGAACAGGCTAGAGGGGCCAGCCGAGAGAGGCAGAGGGATGAACCCTGCCCACATCCAGGCTTTTGGCTGGCATTCCCTAGAAGAAGCTGGAAAGAGGACTTCTTGAGATGGAGTGAAGTCTTCCCGCCGAGACCGACGCGAGAGACTCACTTTTGATGAGGGGCGGCAGGTGGCTGGCTGAAGGGGCTCTGTCCGAAGGCTCCGGGTGCTCCGAGACCGGTCCCCTGTCATGGGCACAGAGGGGGCTCTCACTTCCCGTCGCCTGCGGCTCTGCCCGCTGCCCAGGCCCACCCCAAGGCCGACTACAGCTTTCGGGGAGACAGACTCAGGTGACGTAAGATACCCTACGATGCTCGCTAGCCTTGCTTCCCCACAGTGGCCTCGCCTTGCAGAAATGGCGTCTGCCCCGTCGAGCGACCGAAACCACCACACGGCCGATACGGGCACCACCACGGTTGCCCTAGCATGTCACCCTGGGGGTGGGGACCAACCTGCTTGACTCTCCCGTCAATTTAGGCTGGCCCATGGCTCTTTCTGCCATTCTACGTCCCCTTTGAGGTGAGCAGTGGCCAATCTGTCCTCCATCAACACTCCCTTTCTTTATCTGCTTTGAGGTGCCTGAAACTAAAGCCAGAGTCAATGAAAGCCGCCTGCAGGGCTGGCCGCAGGGGCCACGCCCGCGGGAGTCCGGGGCCGGTGCTGGGGGAAGGCTGCCGCCCCAGCTGCTCGTCTAAGCCTGCAGGGGACCCGGCTCTGGGCCTGAGCTGCTGCGCTGCGGGGGCCTCGGGGAGTTCTGCCACACGGCTTCCTTCAGCGCGCCTGGGCCTGGCCCTGGCATCCCTGGGCCCGGGCCTTCCCCCCTTGGCAACGTGGCAGGGGTCGCCCTCACGTGACATGAGGACCAAAAGGCACAGGCAGTACAAGGTTCTGGGGAAGAGCAGGTACCTTGGACATCCAAAAGAAAACCCAGCTACCATTAAGCCAGGCAGAGGAAGGACCTTGTACGTACGCCAACTTTCTCATCTATGAGATGTCTGGCCACCTCGATCTGTTGAGGAATGCCCCTGATGGTGAATATTCGCAGGTTGGGGTCAGTGTTGGGAGGGGGGTTCCGCTGGAGCTCCACGTGCGCTCCTGACTGCTGATTTATGCTTTTGATGTTCTCACCCCCTGCAGGCAGGCGGACACAAGACAGAAGGGTAAGTGGCAGCAGCGGCTGACCCACAGGCTTGGCAGTCCCCTCCTGTGAAGAGGAGGAAAGGGTGTCATCCGCACCCCAGCCCTCACCCGAGAGCGGACAAGTACCTTCGATTTACTCAGAAACCGTTCTGACAAACACCAGGGCTCTCTCGTTTGCAAAACCAGACTGGGGAGCGAAGAAGCTGGTCCTCTCCGAGCCGGGCTGAGGCCAGACACCCCGCGGCCCCTGCGCCGAGGCCTGGAGCCCACGGGTGTGCACGGTGGAGCTGGGCTCTTGGAGGCTCACTGCAAGCCCGTCTCCGCCGGGAGAGCACAGTCCATTCTCAGCCCCGTGGGCCACGGCCTCCAACAATGCCTGGAGCCCACTCGGGCCTTCCACGCCTATCCCGTCACTTCTCAAGTCCCTGCCTGCTCCGTGCGGGGCGGGGGGGGGGCAGGTCTAGACAGCGAGGCAGCAGAGGATGGGGGTCACAGAGGCCTGGGTGGAGCGGGGTAATGAAAATTTAGTGGGACCCTTTGAAAAACCTGTGAGAGTTCCAGTCTCTTAATGAGATTTGCGTAACAAAAGCTCCAGCAGGGTCACAATGGTTTGATTCTTCTGAAATTTCACAGAGTTTACAGATCGGTTCTGCTCAACTGGGGTGGGGGGGGGGCAATATAAGGAAAACCCGGGAGCACAGAGTTTTGCAACATCAGAAAAAGACAGTCTGGAAAATCTGGTGCGGGCGACCAGAGAGCCCAAATGATCAAAAGCAAAGACTAAAGGCCAGTCTCTGTGTCACTGTACCCTGCCCAGAGTCAAAACGAACCTCAAATGACATTTGTCATTTCACGGTAACATGTCCGCAATCCTTCCAGCCCGCTGCTGGAGCGCCTATCAAGCAAGCAGACAAGGAGGGGATCCCAAGAGCAGGCCCAGCCTGTGTTGTGTCTTATCTCATCCTCGATGGGATGCTACGGGCTCAGGAAGCAAGACCAGAGCCGGGGTCCTGCCGGCCTTCCGGAAGGCAGACGCCACAGGGAGGAAACCAGGAGGCTGCCGGCCTTCGGGGAAAGCTTTGTTCAAATCAGCTCGGGCCGCGTGTCAGTTTCGTGGAGAGTGGGTTTCAATTTAAAAGCAAATTAAAAACAACAGTGCAGCAGACCACCGTGTTGTGCACGTGATTCTCTTCGAGTTCTGTGGCAGTTTAAGACAAGCGTCCCTGCATTTTCCACCTCCAGCACACAGCACTGGCCAATGCAGAAAGTCTCAGAAAAGCCTTCAGCAGCTCGGCAGGGCCGGCCTCAGGGTAGGAGTGAGCCCCACCCCCGCCCCCAAGGCCTACAACTACCACCCTCTGCTCCTGCACTGTGAATTCATCCTCTTTGCACCATGGAAAGTGAGCAGCTTTGCTCCTGGACAAAGTGCTTCTGGGGCTTAAAGAACGGCAAGAAGAAGGAACTGGAAGCCCTCCTACCGCACACCCAGTGCCTGAGGGAATCCTCCAGTGTTCCCCAGGCGCCGCTGGGTTCCAGAGGCAAGAGCACAAAAGGGCACGCGTGTCTGAGGCTGAGAGGCCTGCAGCCCGGATAAGCCCTCCTCCGGCGGGCACTCAGACCGACAGCCCCGCAGGCCCGCCCCCCGGGGCCCGGGCAGCATGCTAATCAGGTGAAGAGGCAGCACAAAACTGTGCGGGCCGGAAGGAGTTCATTTAAGTTCATCTTCCTTCTAAATGAGGTCACCAGCTTGGCACATGGTGGCTGTCTACAGGCTCATTCAGCAGCCTGTCCATTCTTCCACCTGATGGGGGGCAGAAGAGACCCACCAGTGGCCCCCCGGCTGGACGTGAAATCGTAAAGCAATTAATCAACCTGCTAAAAGGCCCGGCTGACAAGAGCAGGGCTGGCCGCACTATCTGTCACTGCTGCTGTATTTATCATGGAAATCCAGCAGGGGCCCCGGGAAGGCGCAGCGTCTGTCCAAGGACTGGGGCTGGGGAGGGGGGGGAGCGCAGCCTGCCTGCTTGTGGCTCCCTCTCCTGTCTCCCTCACTCACGCGCCTTCCCTAAGAGGGTGCACCCCCTCATGTCCAGCCTGTGTGTATGTGTGTGTGTGGCAGGTGAGGGGGGCGGTGGTGGAGAAAGACCCCGGCTGACAAAACTTTGGGCCTCTGAGGCTGCAGTCGGAACCGCAGGTCACACACAGATCAGTCACTGCTCCATGCTGTCGTCCCTTTCCTGTGGGAGTCGCTCAGGATGACTTTGTCGAGGATAAACCACAGGGGAGGTTCTGCCCACACCCAGATTTCACCGACTAGCAGGAACGGTTGCACTGAAGACAGGGAGGCTGCGCCAGGCTAGAGGGGATGCCCGGTCATCGAGTTAACCCTCCTTGATAAAACGGTCCTCCAGAGGCACAGAAACCTAGCTCTGCTTCTCAACCTACAGGCACCAACTGGTCTGAATCTCACAGTAGCCAAGCTGATGGTCTGGATAGCGGATCTGACTTACCACAGCATCTGGGCAGCTGACAACACCCACTAAACCCTGATCAGCATGTACGCCCTGCCAGGAAATGCACCAATCCCACATTGTTCCTACCATCTTTGAGAGATTGACCATCTAGAAGACGACACAAAGGAGAAGAACGTTTCAAAGGAGCATACCACACACACACCGTCCACGACAGGGCCAGATGCAGACTCCAGAAGGTGACCGAGAGAGGCAGGAGGGACTGCCCCCCTGGGCCGGCACGAGAGAGCACGCTAAGGCAGCCTCAGCTCTCCGTCAAAGACGCTCCCAAATCACGGTCTGAGGAACGTTAGCTCTCTCCCAGAGGTCAGAGAGGTCTGCTGGTGGCAGAAATGGGAGAAACTCTCGGGGGAAGCCTGTACTGACTTCCTCCCCATGTGGTCAGACAAGTATGAAGGCAGATACAAAGGCCACAGCCAAACGCGCGTGTGCTGCCCGTGGGGAGGCTCCCCCAGAGCCCACAGGGAGGCTAGCCCGCTGCAGAGAAGGCTGCCTGGCGGCCCAGAAAGCTGCCTGCCCTTCCCCTGCTCACAGTGAAGGATGGCTAGGGGCCACATCAGCCGCTAACAAGGGGCTCTGACCTAATGTTCCCTACAAAGCCTACAAACAACGAACCAGTCAATTTTTATTTCCCTCCACAGGGTATCCGTTACTCACGGTAAATGTGCTCAAAGCTTCAACACCGTTTTCACATGTGTCAGTAAGGACCAAATACCCAAATCCAGTCAGGACAAAAAGTGACATACTTGTCAGAGAGCGACCTTCACTTGCGGAATTATCTTAACTGTTCCTCTGAGCTCCCAGGAGGCAAATTAATCACTACTCGGTTGGTGGACAAAGATCCAGAGGCCCCTCAGGCTGGGCAGGGGGCCTTTGGGACAACCTGCGCAGCTTCACCAGGCAGTGGGTCTCACTTCTGGTCTGTTCGTACGGGATAACCGACAGCCCACTCTGCGCGTGCCCGTGAGAAGCCCCGACCCAGCCGGGTCCCTACGGGAGGCAGCTGATGTCACAGCCCGGGCACCTGCAGTCAAGCGCAGCCAACAGCCCTGGACTTCATGCTCTGGAGGTACCGTAGGGGCCCCGTCTGCGGTCGGGTAGGACAGATAGGAGGGGGACCACGAAACCCCATCAGCGGCTCCTCACCTTTGCCTATGACGAGGCCGCACTTATCTGCCGGCACTGGGTAGGTTATCTCCTGGACGCCACCAGGGGCTCCCACAGTCCAGTCGCCACGGCCACGGCCTCGACCTCTGGCCACCGCGAGGCCTCCGAAGCCATCTCTCTCCTGGGAAGGAAGCAAAGCTCCAGTGACGATTTCTGCCACTGCCACCGGGACCACTTTTCAGCCCCAGGGAGGAGGTGAAGTGACAGGATATAATCAGTGCCACACGCTAGAACCTCAGCACCTTTCCACATTTCAGCTTCTGAAGTGCTCTTTCAAAGCCAGAATTAACACAAATCACAGGCGCAGTCAAAGAGGACGTGTGCAGACGAACGCGTGTGGTTACCCAAACAGCCCCACTGTACCCAACTGAAACAGGCAGTCAGGTATAAACTCCTGTGTCTGAAGCCCAGTGCCCTGCTGCAGCGAGTCTTAATGACTGGGCCCTAACGTCCAGGTATCGGGGGTCGGTTTTCTCCTCCACACCGAGGCTGCCCTTTCCCGTGGCTAACACACGCTGGGCCTACCAGAAGCCAGGCGTCAGATGCGAAAGAGCTGCGGGCATCTCGAAGTGGTACCTGAGTGGCAAGCAGGCCTCCAACCCTCCCGTCCGCAGACACTGAGGGTAGTCGGGGCACCTCGCAATCCAACTAGCAGAAAGGATAAAAGGCTCTTAAAGAAAGCCGGGTTGTCCCAGTCTCCCCAAAAGGAGGGAAAAAACCAGGTGCGTGGGCTCGTGGTTTGGGGCCGGAGCAGCCTCCAACATCGTCACGCCGGGCCCCCAGCAGAGAGAGCACAACCCATGGCCAACACCTAACAGAAGAAGGTTCCTTTCATTCAGGGGCAGCCAATCTCGTTGGAGGTCTTTGTCCTCTGACTCACTCTGGTACTGCAGCATATACATTCTTTTTTTATATGTTGAGGGCAAACGTGGTCAAGCCGAGAGCCCCTCCATGGAAGGCAGAAGCTGAGCCGATGCTCAAGACAGCGGACAAATGTCTGGCAAAACCTGCCTATGCTGATTCAGGGTACACTGAGCTCTTACCCAGAATCTAAACCAGCAGAAAGCAGAGGTGGTTGGAGTGCTCTTTTTCCTGCATTTGGCTTTTAGGAGAAACAAATGATGAGTAAACAAGGCAATTTTAGGGATTTATGTTAAAACGCCTGCACGCGCGCGTGTGTGCGCACACACAGCCCACTTCCTGGCCTGCACCAGACTCGCGGAGGTGAGGCTGTCTCCCCGCCGCCCTGCGCCTCCGTAGCTCTGGGTCTGTCGACTCCTCCTGCTACAAATGATGCTGGGCTCACTTAGGGACTCTTCTGAACTGGTCTCATCCTAAGAATTGCTCTGGACTCTGGCAGAAGCCCAAGCCCCCTCTCTGGGATCTGCTGATTCGGGAAGTCTGCAGTGGGGGCCATCATCCTGTAACTTCAACACGACGCTCAGCGACTTGGGGGACCGTGTGGGCGGCTTGCCTGGTACATCCCCCCCAACCCCCCCCCCCCCCCCCCCCCCCCCCGCAGCTGAGGGCTCGCCCCGGGGAGGTTCAGAGGCTCATCCCAGCTCACACGGCTCACGGCAGAGCAGGGGCTACGGTTTCCGATCGCGTGCTTCTCCTCAGCTCCACGTGTTTTTAAACTTTCCCTCCGTTTGGCACACCTGAGACATGCTGACCTAGCGTCAGTCACGGGGGTTCCAGGAACACTTCACAGCAGGGGCAGGCGGAGATGCTAACAGCCTCACACAAGCTTGCTCGCATCCCCAGACAGAGATGTGTGCGGAATCCAGTGCGTGAAGACAGCTCTAAGACTCTGGAGGAGCCTGAAGTGTTTTCTGAGGCTAAGATTAGAGTTTATTTATTTTTTAAGTAGACTCCATGCCCAGCATGGAGCCCAATGCGGGGCTTGAACTCGTGACCCTGAGATCAAGACCTGAGCTGAGATCAAGAGTCGGACGCTGAACCAACTGAGCCACCTAGGCGCCCTGGAGTTGACTTAATACAGTTCCACGCAAGGTGCACCCGAAGGCTTGACACGTGGTGACCTGCGCTGTACTTCTCCCAATAGTTTATAGAGTCAGGAACTTACTGTGTCAAGAAAACCTAGACCCTGGGATAACAAAGGCAGGAGAGCAAGAAGCTAGTAACAAAATACATGAAGGCAGGAAACAGGCAGGTATAGAAAAGCCACTGGCCGTGTACCCGGAAGTCGGTAACTGACAAGAGTGCTGTGTTCCAGAAGTGTGACCCAAGAGGGCGTGGCTGCTCTACGGTGCTGCCCCGAGACCCCGTGTGGCACTTTCTGCTTTTGCAGGTGACGCATGGGAACCCCAGAGCGCTGGACCCACCTGGGCTGTAAGAATAAGCTCGTTGATGATGTGTGCCGCGTGCTGACACCGATCTGGGGGTCCCATGACTTGTGCAGCTCTCTCCGGACTAATACCATCGTCTGCAGAACAATGTGAGAGGCGGGGTCAGGAAAAGCCCAACTTCAGTTGGAAACAAAGGTCAGTCTGACTTGCAATCAATGCATAGAGAAGCATGTATGGTTCCATCTTTTTGCATGGTCCATGTCAACACTCGCTTCTCATGCAATTACAGGCATTTAAAAAAGCTATCGTTACAGAAACACAAAACAATAAGCAAAAGAAAGCAGAGTTGAGCTACGGCAATGTTGGCAAAAATGAACCTATCACAATGTTCTCCCATCTTCAGAGAAATGAGGAAAATTAAGACAATGTAAACAATTTTGCTCATGAAGGTAAATCTACAAAATTTAAAGAACTGTCCTTTATTCTAAGATGTTAGTCCTTTTTTAAAATGGTTTATCTTTAAATAATGAAGTCAAAATAACAGTTTTTTTTTTTTTGTAAGTCTTTACTTAACAAAATTAAAAGCTGGAAATGCTATGAGGGCCCAGAGGAGAAAGCTAGATTGATAATTTGGTAATAGTATGGGGGAGGAGGGGGAGGAAGAGAAGGAGAGAGGGAGGGAACACACAATGAGCCAATTACAGATTCCTTGTCTTGTTAAGTGCTTTGTAAGTCTTCATAGCACTAAGGATTTTTGAGGGTCATCAAAACCAACCTGGCTTGAACTGAATCCTCACCCCGGCATCATTCTGAATCTTTTTGATCATTTCCCCATTTCTTCCTATTACAATCCCAACAGCAAACCTTGGCACAGACACCTGAGCACAGGGAAACAAAAGCTGATCAGAGCCGTCCGCAAATCCGTTATTTCTTAAAGGATACATTAAAAAAAAAACCACACACACAAAACCCAAAAAACAAACAACTTGATTTTGATTGCAGTGAATTCCTGGAAATATGATCTAGCATATTTTTCCCTCTTAGGAAAAATACCGTGATTGATGATTGTATTCCTGCCTATTAAGTCTATCTAATGCATCTGAGATTTTATCACAATAGTTATAAAAATGAAGGAAAGCATAATAAACCTTATACATAAAAGGTTAAAAATGGCAACCTTATCTTCCCAGTTCCATGGAATCAGCATAAATATACCAGGTATGCTGATTATACTGCTGGTCGGTCCTTGAAAATGTTTTTTTATCGCCCCTTCATTCTTTTATTGTGATAAAATATACAGAACATAATCTATCATTTTAACCATCTGTAAGTATATAGTTCAGTGGCAATTGTTGTGTAACCATCACCGGTCTCTACACCCCCACTCCAAAACCTTTTCATCACCCCCCCCCAAAAATTCTGTATCCACTAAACAGAGACTCTTTCCATCAGCCCTGGTCACCTCTGCTCTACATTCTGTCTCGATGAACTTGCCCATCCTGGGCACCTCGTGGAAGTGGAATCCCACAGTATTTGTCCCTCTGCATCTGGCTTATTTTACTAAGCGTGATGTTCGCAAGCTCTCTCCATGGTGCAGCGTATTGCAAGACTTCATTGTAAAGGAAAGCTTTCTGGGGCACCTGGGTGGCACAGCTGGTTAGGCGCCCAACTCTTGGCTTTGGCTCAGGTCATGATCTCAGGGTTGTGAGATCGAGCCCTGCGTTGGGCTCTGCACTCAGCGGGGAGCCTGCTTGAGATTCTCTCCCTCTGCCCCTCCCTGCCCCTGCACATGCTCGCTCTCTCTCATAAATAAATCATTAAAAATTTTTTAAAAAAGTAAAGGAAAGCTTTTCATCCCATTCCACCTCATCAGTAAGTTGGGCTTCCAAGTCTGATACGATCACAAAACAGAACACCTAGAAAACCTGGCCTCTGGTCTTCACCTGAGCAGCAGGAAAAGCCTTGAGGCAAAACCTCATAAGCAGGAGGATGGCCCCATTCCCCGAAATGTGTGCAGCTGGCTCCCCTCCCCACCGCCGACTATTTCGGTCCTTCCTCACAGCCACCCTGGCTTCGAAGATGAGATCAAAGCTCGCTCACTGCCTCAAGCTAACCAAAGTGCAGCCTACAATCGGAAAGCGCAGCCCGTCTGCCTGGGAACTGACCTGCGGGGCAAGCATACCTCTATGCTGCCTCCTCCCACGCGGGCACCAAAGTCACCTCGGACACCTCGGAAGTCAGCTTGGTCTTTCTCTCGGATGATCTCTAATACCATTTCTCTTGCTTGCTGTGTAAACACAGAGAAAAGGCATTATGGAAACCAAAATCCCAAGAAAAGACATGACACCAGGTGACATTTCAAGATCAGACCCTGTTACGTCGGGCTTAAAGACTCAGAAGGCGCTTAGCTGTGCGACAGGTCACTTCCTGGGTTACAATACAGGACATGAGTAGGCTGCTGGGGAGGGTTACATATATCAAATCTTAGGTGATGTGTTCTTTATACTGCCCAAGACATCCACACAGACAAGGGCCCTCCCGCCTTTAAACCACAGTCGGATCAGCACATTTGTGCTGGGTCAGAGCTTGATTACTATGGCCTGAGGCATTTTGGCACACTGTTTCTTCCTGAGAGCTCTGTGGGCAGATTCCACGGAAAAGACATTACAAGGCATTCCATCGCAGAGGATCTCTGGGGAGGTGAAGGGAAAAAGCCAGCCCAGGGGGCCTGAAAATATCTTCCAGCACCCAGAGATCAAATACCCCAATTACCAATTGGCAAGACTACCTCCCGGGCCTGACGCTCTCAGAGGCACACTCAGCGTCCTCTGCCCCCAAATGCACTTAATTCAGTCCATCGTCCCCACACCGATCCCAGCCCCATAGGAATCTGCACAAACATCAGGCGTACATAACAGCTCAAGGTCATGGGAACCCAAACTGCATCCTGGTTCTGGAAAAACCAAACCAAGCCAAAAAACCCCAAAACAGCAATTAAAGTCTTCAGACATTTGGAGAAATTGGAGTATGGGACTGACTATAAGACGATGTTAGGAGACTTGCTATCATTTTCTTTGGCCTGGTTATAGAAATTAGTTCTTATTCTTAGGAGACGTATGCAGGATCTAGGGGCAGACGGTCATGACGCCTGCCATTTACTCACTTAGAAATGGTATGGTAAAGCACAAATAAGTAAATAAAGTAGACACACGTTAGCGTGGCAAAATGACAGGCCGGATGAGGCTACACACGTACATGTTCACCGTTCTATCTTTTCAACTTGTCTGTATGTTTGAAGTTTTTCATAATAAAAAGTTGGGGAGAAAAAAACAAATGACCAACAACTTACCCTAAACACAGCAAACAGCTTCTCCCAAATAAAAAATGTGGAATACACAGTTTTAAAATTAAAAAAAAAAACAAAACTAAAAACCTTTGGTTGTCATGATTTTCCTGCAAATTCAGGGAACGTCAAGGAAATAAGCTCTTTGCTCCAGTGTTCTTTTCATAAAAGAACCAAAGGTTCCACCAGCGACGGCAAGCAGGGAGCCCACCTGGACACGTTTAGGGAAGTTAGAAGCTCTGGGGGGCAAGGCACCTGGGGGACCCTGGCCTGCTTGAGGGGAGTGAAAGGCCACACCACTGACTGGAGCCCAAGGAAAGAGGCTGTTTTCATCACTGGCCCTCAATCCTGTTTTAAAACCAGGATTTTACATATGTAATATGTACTTGGACCAGAAAAACTACCAGTGACACCAACTTGAGTTAAGCCAAGCAACAGCATTAAGCACTGGGGGAAATAAATAGGTGAAGGGGATTAAGAGGTACAAACTTGCATTTACACAAGAAATAAGTCACAGAGTTGAGAAGTACAGCACGGGGATACGGTCACTAATACTTTAGTATCTCTGCACAGTGACGGAGGGTAAGCACATGGTGAGCCACTTCGTAATGGACAGAATTTCCCAATGTGTTGAGTCACTATGTTGTGCCCCTGAAACGGACACATTATCATGTGTCGATTACAGTAAAAACACATCCATATGTCAATAAAGTATCACGGGAGGGGAAGAATAGGGGGAAATATTTTGCCAGAGACTGGTAGCCTCTGCTGGCTCAAAGCCCCAGAACTCCCGCGGAGAAACAGCTGCTGCTGACAGACCAGCTCACCAAGGTGCGTCACCCCGGCGCTCCTCTAAAAGCAGCAAAGGCGCAGCACGCTGCAGCGGGCAGGGAAAGAACATTCGGAGTTCACAGGAACAGACACATTCCCACAGCCAGCCCACTCACGTTCCTGCTGACAGCGGGAGTCGGAGGGTGGATCTGCCCCAGATGGTCTAAGACTAAGCCCCCTACTGCTTTCCGAAATGGGCTGTCCTCTGTGGCTGGGAGCTCAGGGCACAGGCCGCTTGCTCCAAGGGCACACATATGCCTGTGGGCCGCTCACCTCCCACCTGAGCTGGAGGTCTTGCAAATACGGGCCAAGAGAGAACAAGCAAGTAAGAGCCAAACAGAGCCTGCACCTGAGGTGCCCGCGGGCCAACAGATGGGAGACTGCATCTGATCAGTGCAACAAAACCGTCTTCATTTGTGGGAATATTGCGTACATGCAGTGTCCATGACCATCGCCGCCATCCTCATGTGGCTCTTAGGCTCTCAAAATATGGCCGGTGTAAACGAGGAAATCCGTCCTCATTTACTCTGAATTAATCTAAATGGCCACCTGTGGCTCGTGGCTCTGGTGGAAGCAAGACAGCCCTGCAGCCCTTCCATCATCAGACTTGGTTTGGGACAACAGGTCACCTTAAAGGAACATCCAGTTTTACAACTTCTTGAGTGACACGCAAGCTCCACACATTCCTCCCGAGTGCTACCCCCATGCCCAGGACCCACCCGATCCGTGGTTTCTCCCCTACCTGTACTTTGAACGGGTCTCCTGTGATGCGGAGAGGCTTATCTGCTCCCGTAGGCAACGGGCCATCCTGGATCATGACCATTTTCACACCTGTCCGCTCCTGTGGGGGTAGCACACCAGGACAGGCCTCATTGCCGTGAAGAAGAACGTGCACGTACTGCAAGCACAGGGCTGGGCCCTGTCTACCATCAGGCACGTCCCACCGACCACGAGGTGCTGCCCTCTGAGGATGCCAGCACGCAGGCCATGGTAGACAGCTGCCAAGTGCAATATGGAAAACCGTTTCCCAAAACCCTCCTCCTTTCCTGGTCCCCAGACTATCTCAACCTGATGAACTCTTTTTCGGAGCGGCCAGGCACTAACGTCATCTAGTTAGGGCCCGTGCACAGCTCTGAGACGGAAGGGTTCCCGTTGCCCTATTTCACTGATGGGGCGGGCCCTGAGAGCAAGCTGCCCAAGGTCCCAGAGCTGAGGTGGGGCGGGGAGGCAGCAAAAGGTGGATTCTGGCTTCCAGGACCCTAGAGCCCACACCACAGTGCCCACCAGGCCGAGGGCTGGGCCGTGAGCACGCACCCCTGACCTGCAACTTCAAAAGCTCAGTTGTGTGGAGATAAAAGTTTGAGCATAGGGCGCCTGGGTGGCTCAGTTGGTTAAGCGACTGC